AAGTTCAGATATAGAATATGTATACAACATTTAAGGATGGGGCGGTGAGTTATCTTCACTAGCTGGCTGGGTGTAAAGATTTTATCCTGCTTTGATGATGTTCATCATATGAGGGATGATTAGCACGTTATCACCGGAATTGAAAGAGATCACTTTGGAAGCAACGTCAACAAGAATGTTTCAGTAAAGCTGGTCAAGACAGCTGGCCAAGACAGCTGGTCAAGAGGAATCCGCTGTCGTCTTCTGATGGGATCAACCTTCGGATCTCTTCGCCAAAGACCTTCACTCGAAATGGAAGTAAGCTCAACAATTATGAAACGAGAGATTCCTCGGAACCCAACGTTTTTTAGCATTTACTTAGCTACTTCTCATTTGGCTCTTTAAGAGCTGTGCCTGTATATAAAATTGTATGCCCATTTGCATAGATTTTTATCCACCAGTAAGCCTTCAGAAGTGGACGAATCCACTACTGGTGTGTGTGTTCTCCTAAACGACATGATCTCGTCTGACTTATATACAGGCTAAACGTTAGGGTAAAGTTGTGTGGAAAACTTGCTGAAAGAACTTTGCAAAGTGTTCTCATTTAGAACTGAAAGAAGATTGCCCTGGATCTGTTGATTTGGTCCTGAGACCTAGGATCGTATGAGATACTACATAGACCACCAGACGCTAGTTTAGCTTACCGAATTAGCTTATCAATCTTCATTCATGCTTCAGCCTCAGTATCGAGCAGCCTAATTTGGAGCTTAATGTAAAACTGTATGAAATATATAGTATTACATCTGACAACCCTTATTAGCTTATTATTTAAGAATGCTACCTGGCTCTGAGAGTGTCTATCACTGGAGGACAAACGAAAGCTCAGCACGGACCCCTCAGTTTGCAGAACGATGTGTACGAGAGTCTTCTGCTCAAGTCGGCTTCAAATATATCTGCCCTCGGTTTCCAAAGAGACCGGGTTAGTAACCCTCTAGCTTTTGCATTTATTTTCCTTCTAGATCATAAGGTAGGAATGCTTTTCTAAACCATAATTACATCACTTACGTATGCCCAAATTGATTCCTACGCGTGGTCGGCAATCCTCTTGCTCGACTCCCACCTCATCCGAGCTGGTTTCACTCAAGCCCAGTGGCTTGGTGTGGGCCACCTGCTTGGGCCAGCGTCCTCGACCGCCCAGCGGGGCAGAAGATAGGTTGGCCGAGCCTGCCATCGCAGAACCTCCAGTCAGGCTGTAGACTCGTGGCGCAAAGGGTTCAGTTTCCGCAAAGCCTGCCACGTCAGGCGCTACGTTGCCCATCGTAACTGCTGCCGTCATCGTTAAAACGGCCTCGTTGCGTTCACCGCCTTGCAACCAGGTGGTATCGCTCCCTCCACAAGTTCTCGAGGCAGCTGAGCCGAAGGCATGCCCCGAGGTGGCGATGGTCGGCGTCACAGCGGCAGAAACTGTCGAGGTTTGCCATTGTAGGCGAGTTGATGAATGGGCCGACTGAGCGATGCGGAGAAGCTGAGTAAAAAGCTTAATGGCCCGGCGTTCTGTACTCCATGAGGAATGACGCACCAACGACTGTGTGATCGGGAGTCTTGAAAAGCTCCATATTGGTGAGCGAGCCTCGGCACCAGCAGATGGGAGGAAAGGGGATGACTGTTCATGAGCTTTTAGATCCTTCGTAGCTGGTGGAAGCCGTGTCCTTAATATGGCTGTGTCGGTGGCCAGACAACTTAGCGAGTCTGAAGTTGACAGCAGATGAGAGGTTTTCTGAGTTCATATTGAAAAAGACAGCAAACGCAAAGTAAAAGCGGATAGTCTGCTTGCAAGTCATCCTAATTACCAGAATGTACTGCGGTTTATTGCAAGTCATATCACATTAGCTCAGTCATGTTGAAAAATATACTGTTGAGAGGAGTGTATCCCATTTCCCTAAAGTAAATATAGTTTTAGGGCCGAGAGGAAATTTATTGAGCATCCGCCGATATCGGCGAATTCTTTTAGATTGAAAGTTAGTTATCTAAGCGTGGATAATAAAGAGTCAATTTGTTTACTTTTTATTTCAACGCTGCACTCACCTATTGTTACACTATACGTCTGATGTCACATGATTAACATGATACATGGAATCTTTACTATATTCTATCTTGAAGCCACATAGAGCCATTGTGCCAATAAATTAGAAGGCAGATATAGTAATCAGGGTATTGAGGTCTGTTTTACATCAAATCTATTTGAAGGAACATTAATAAAGCAAGAATTAGTATGCTGGCATGGTATAACAACTATCATGACATGCCGTCAAAGAGCCTACAACATTTCCAGCATTGATGAATGAATGATTATATCATAGCTTGATTTTAGCTTAACAAAGAAAAAAAGTATATATTTACCTAGTCACAACAGTAGATTATGAGGGGACAGGGGTAATACCGATTAAAAACGTGTTGATATTGTCAGCAATCAGCCTTATTCGAGCAATCAGGATAGATCGAAGTTGTGATATAAGCCATCTATTTACCTCATTAAGGGAAGATCGACCGTCAATGCCGAGCCCATCAATTGGCAGTGATGAGGCATTGCCTTCAAATAAGCTTGTTAAATACG